TCATTTTTCACACAAACACTGATGCCCAAGGTAGTTGTGGAAGTGTGAAAGGACTTTTTTTACTTGGTGGTATGTCTTGTCAATGTTTTCCCTTTAGTACAAAAAGGTTCACTGATAATATACTTGAATAAACTACTTTTCGCTAACGGTTATCTTTCCTGCCCAGGGACTATGATATGTAAAATAGCTGTATACTAGTTTCAGCACATTTCGGCAGCCATTGTACCATTGTTCATCAATGGGCATTGTCCCTTTCAAATAAACAACAACATGAAACATGAGGAAAAAAAAAAGTTAAGTAGAAGCCAGCACGTATAACATCATGTTTTGGGCTTTGGCCTCCTGGTAAGGCTTTTTTTCCCCACTGCCTACGGTCTGCCTTGGTGAATTGGTGGGCAGATCATTCAACATGGTGCACCCACCCGTTGGTAATCTTCCTTGGTTGGTATTTTGGTGCTGCTCCAATAGAGGGAAGGTGCTAGAGTATTGTTATGCTTGCTGTCAGTCCATTTTGTTCCTGGGGGTTGTTTCTTTCCAGGGTTCTTTAAGCTTTGTTTTCTTATTAAGAACAAAAAACAAAACAAAACAAAACAAAAAAAAAAACAAAACGGTCATTTTGTAGTCCTGTTTTCTTTAACCTGCGACCCTGGTGAGGATAAGTGGATTGGAAAATGGATGGATGGATGTTTTCTTCAATGTAGGCGTTCCAGGAGTACTGAAGTTGCTGTCAAAGTACTGTCAAATACTTGGTTTTGTGGTTTTATGTTCTCTGTTTCTATCGTGGGTACTTGACCTGGGTCACTTGTTACAGATGGGTTTCCTGTGATGTCACGTCCATATGCAGGGGCGTAGACATACATTTTTCGGTTATGTGGCTGTGCATGCGTGCTTGTGTCATTGTTTATCGTACAATCCACAGTCAGTGTTTCATTAAATAAAATTCAAACCTAACCAGAACAATGCCCATCACCCTCCTAATCAAGCAGAAACAAGGCAACATTTTGTGGAGCTTAATTTTAATGCCATTTTATTTACCCTTACCTTTCTTTTGTGCACTCATCTCATCGTCTAATTCTGCCCTATGTATTGATTTAGTAGTTAACCGCCAATCAAAGTGAAAATGTGCCACTGATGACGAATGCTAATTTGCATATATCAATCAATGGCATATTTGTTCAAATCGTATCTAAAAAGCCCAGTGACACAAAAATCTCTTCACTCTTCATAATTCTAAGCATTGCTTTTTACTTATGTGTGCAAGATTGGTATGTGTATGCATTTTATTTCATGAAACCATGGCAATGAATGGCGTGCTAAACAATGACTTTTCGGCCATGTTGTTGTCTTGCTATGGTATGAAAGTAATCAAATGTTCTTTAAGATAGAGTCGTTTAGAGTTTACATTTGCATCAATTATATATTTATTCTTTAAATATACAATATAAACCCCCCCAATAAAACTGCCACGGAAAAATGGCGGAAACAATCAGAGATATCAGCCTTCTCCACTAGTTGTGGGGGTGGCCAGGGTTGGCCTTGGCCACCATGTAGCTCCACCCCTGGTTCTACCCATTGTTGTGTTCCAGTGCTTAATGAGTGTTTGAAGAAGAAATTTTTGAGAGCAAACGCCAATAAATGGTCAATTACTGTGCGGTGTGGCGGGACAACGTCTCATTTCACCGTTTACTGGCACCAATTTGGAGTCATGACGAGTAGACATTTGACAAGAACATTTGCTCGGCAGGGTAGGTACAGCATATTATGCTAGCCGTTTGATAATGTCTAAATCTCGTCTTAGGTGTCCGAATGCCGTTTGTAGTGTGACAGTGATTGTTATCCAATACATGCTATATTGGGATAACAAACTAATCCAACAGCTACTTGAGCCAAATGCCCAACATTGGCTGTGGCCACGAAAGCAACTCTTCATCCAGTCCTCACTTCACTGAGCCTGAATCAAAGCCTCAGGCCCGGTATGCTCCTTTTCCTGTGTGAGGTGTAGGGGGAAGAGGTTAAGTTTGTGCAGTCCTGGTGAGTGTAGCGAGGGGGGCTTTCTCACACAAGATGCAGGATGAAGGGACAAAGGTAGTATTCATTGGCCCAGGAATGGAAAACATTTTCACCTGAAAAACCGGCCGACACGGTACGCAGAGGCTACTGGGAGCCACTCACCACAGGTCCAAAAGCCTAATTAGGTCCTGTGCGTTAAGGGAAATTGAATCCCTCGTCATGACATCAATTACCTCATGTAATTCTCATCGCAGTGAGCACTGTGAACATATTTAACAAATTAGACAATGATGATGATAATAATAAGGATTATTGTTGGGATTTGCGGTACATTGGAGGGAAACTGAATTCCCCCAAGTTCAAAATTTCAGGTTCTTCTTTTCCTCTGATTTTTTTTTCATTCATAATTTTATTTGCAACACGACCATGAAAATGCCTTTTAATGTCGAGCAAACATTGTTTGACAAAATGCGTTGCAGCTGAGTATTTTGTCAAAAAGAGCATCGGGCATCGTGATGTACTTTAACATAGACTCTCTCTGCTTCACTGAGCTCTCTGAAGAGCAATGAGGATTAACCAAATTGAATTTGCCTCAGAACTATTTGATTTGTGGCTTGTTTTTGGCTCACGGGGTCTTCTTGGAGAACTCAGATATTAACCAAGCATAACATTCAACCACGACAAAAATATATACTGTATATTTTTTTCTGTTCAGAAAAGTAAGCAAGTAGCTATAATTTCACATTTTAATAAATCACGCCGTGCTTTACTTAAATAGTAAAACAATTTGGGGCTCTTATATTGGGTAGTGCTGTAATATTATCAATTCACCATATATTTTCTGTGTCTCAATGTCTAGCATATGATATAAGTTCCCTTTTACGGCAGTAAAAAGTTGGACTTTGTACTGTCGTGGAAGATTTTGTGTGTTTCTAAAATCAAACATTGATAAGAGGCAGTTCAATTCAAGACAAATCACACGACGGCCCATGCCAGCTCGCGTATTTAGAGCATTGTGATTCCCGCGGATAGCAGGTATCCCGCAAGGAACGCATGAGAAGCCTGTGGGCCTGCTCGAAAAATAGTTCAGCAGTGACGGCACATTGTGATTTCCTAGGAATGCCGTCAAAGTTTGAAAATGTAAATACTGCAAGGGATGTATAGAAATAATGTATATTATTTGTTTCCTAATTATGGTGTGAAATCCATGTGATCAGTATCGTCACATGTATCAATATTATTAATTATGAAGTCATAATAAAAGCAATTTTTAAGGTACTTAAATAAAATCAAATATATTTTCAGGAGCGTGTATCAAACTGCTATCCCTTCGCATTAATGGGTTTCCAAGAAGTGGCTTTCTGCTTCAAAACGGTGGTGACCCCTGCACTAGAGGAAGCATCTCAGACACATGAATGTGAAGTGTCCTCTCAGGAAACCGAGCCAAGAGAGCTGCTTGGGACTGGAGTGAGGGCGCTGCCTAGAGGAGGACTGGATTAATGTTCCCTCAAGTCAACTCACCATGAGGTCTCACGACTGCTTGTGACAACAGCACAACTGTCGTAAACCACTTGCTAAATACGATGACATCCATGACTGGAGTTGTATCTTAAAATGTGCCTTTGCAAAGGCAATCATGCGATGAACACTTGCAGAGTTAATACCCCGTTCACAAAATGTTTATTATTCATGTCGTTGGCGTTTGCAGTAAAATTGTTCGATATCATGAAACTGGTCCTAATATTTTGATTACCTAAAATAATTACATAGAGGGGAAAAAAAAACATTAGAAAAAAAAAAAAGAAGAGGAAAAAAGTCAGGAAAAGCCGACTAGAACTCCTGAAATTTATCTTTCGGGTTAATCAAAGTCATTTTCAATGGTGGGAGGTGTGTGTTGCAGGGTATTATAGTTTTGGAGGTTTCGTTTATCGGTACTTTTTATTTCCTTTTGCCTATTTTTTAAATTCAGATAGTTTTGATTAGTTTTTTGAGGAAGCTTCTTAGCTGTAGTTAGTTTTTATTTTTTTCAAAAATTTGTTATTTTAGTTTCTTATTGGTTTTAGTATTCATTTTAGTTGTATATATTCTTTTAAAATATATGGAGTATTTGTCACACAGAAAAAAATGGTAACTACGAAAGTAAGCTAAAATTCTCCAACTGACCTTCCTTTTCCTGTAGCTATGGCCTTTCAGAAATCCCGAAGTAAAAATATTTGAAATAAACCCAGACGGCTCATGTCTGAAATGAATTGACAAACATAAGAACAAAGCACATTTTTGCTATAACTTTAGTTATAGTTACTTTTAAAAATGTAAGAAGTCATTTCATTGTTTTTTTGATTTAATTTGTTCTTATTTCATCAATGAATTTAATTTTTTCAATTTTAGTTGTAGTTATTTCATTAGCTTACATGAACTATAATAACCTGAGAATGCTAATTCCTATTTAGCAGTTTGAAGTGCGCCACATCGCAATTATAATAGAGGCAACCACATTGTTTTGGTCATTTTATTTTGTTGTTATTTTTTCCCACCTCTCAAAAATATATATATTTTAATTGAGTTGTATGATTTTACAGCAATATTTATCTTGTTCTCAATTTTAAAATCCAAACAACATGGCATTTGAGTAGTGGTGTGTAAACCTTTTGTATCCACTGAGTATATACTGTATATATTCATAATGCTAATTAGAATACATGTACTGTGTTTGTTACGATTGACCTCTGTGTGATCAACACCTGTCTAAAAATGAGATTTAAAGTAAATATTATCCCCGCCCCTTTACAATGGGAATTGTATAGATGGAATGTTTCCTACTTAAGTTTGATGTCAAACTTCCCAGTGGATGAAACTGCAACGATAACATTTGACCAATCAGGATCATGAACGGTAGCTCAAAGAATATCCCGTTCAGTCTCAGCAGCTGCTGTTGTTTATTTGCGCTGGCATCTCAGCCATTGGGCCGCGTGACCCCACCCCCTTAGAGCAGCATGTAGTTGAAAGAGCAGCTGCTACTCACTGTGAACGCCCTAAAGTACTGTTCACAGTAGTCTCGATCAACCATTGGAGGGGGAGAAAAATTTTACTCTTTTCAATTAGCAAATAGTAGGTCCTACTGATCACTATGCATTGCTTGAAAGCTCTGAGGACAGCCAACCCAGGAGCCTTGCGGCTATTTAAGAATGCAGGCATCACAAACAGAGTTGGAGCTGACAGCAGTGTTCTGTCCAGGACGCAGCAAGCCGTTTTTCTGCCCTGCCGGCTCACAACACCACCTCATACCCACAGAGCCCTTCTTCATTACCAGACCGGTCCTGATGTGGAGCAAGGACGTGGCAAGTAGGTCCTCGCAGGCCACCACAATTGAGTGATTAGAAATGCAACATGAATGGACGCCCATGTAATGTCACCATCTGCTATATATATACAGGTATATATGTATATGTGCGTGTATGTACCTGTATATTGCAGGAACAGTTCAGGACAGTACAGTGTATATTTTGTTTTGTGTTGTGTGTTTTTAGGTTGATGTCTAGTATGGAAGACTTACTTTTCTACACAATCACCGACGGCAGAGAGATGATCCCCATGTCACAGTTCATATCAGTGAGTCACAGTCAGCACGCTCACATTACCTGTGCCGCATCGGTTTGGCTTTCCTTCATGGACATTCTGCATCTGTACACAAACACTGCGCCCACTTGTGCTTCCTAAACATACCTCTGACATTTGTGCTAGCAAACATCAGGAGACATATAAGAGCCCAGTGCAGTTGAATCAAAAGTCATCTGGTGTCCAAGATTTTTTTTTCATGTAAAAGGAATCGTGGTTGTGAACCACAGGTAAAGGACACTAAAACAACATAGATCGATCTCTTTTGCCATTTAAATGGTAGAAATAAAACAGAAATAAACATTTTAAATATACATGCTCGATAATTCTGAACTGGATTGATGTTGGTGCTAATACAGCTTGATAAATTTCCAGGTTGCTCCATCATTAGTATACTGATATCACTCTACAATGTACGCATTGTATTCAAGGCCTTAGATTAGGATACAGTCTTTTGTAGAAGTCTCACATATGCAATCAACAGGTCACATTATTATTCACATTATTATTCTTGTTTTATTTATTTCTTACTATTATGGATGAAATGCCCTGTTTAACCCATCCGGCTGACTTTTGTGACCTCATTGGTCACATCACATTACATATAGATCAGACATCTGGTGAACTCTGTGTCTATGGTGACGTTCTTCCTTAATGGAACAGATTGCATACCTCAGAGAAGTGACCCTTGTGTACACAGCTGCCTTGTTTTGTGTTCTTCGGATGATTGGCTGTGTTTGTAGACGTGACTCAGGTAGAAATAGGTCGTAGAACTAGGTGGAATTGAGCACAGCAAACCAGTGGCATTGTTGTTTGCATAGTCGGACATGTTTGTTTTTCTCCCTTTCAATCTGTTGCAGCATTAACATTTACACAGTAGACTAGTAAACTCCATTATGCTGTATCAGCATAATGGAATGTTTGCTTGTTTGTAACTTATTACACATTATGCATTTTACGGAGCTATGAAGTGTGTAGATGTGAAGATGTAATTAATTGTAAGTGAGAACGTGATGATTGACTTGGGACCAGTGCAGGGTGTTGTCTGCCTTTCATTCGATGCTCCATCACCACTACATCCCTCAATAGACATGACATCATGTGACATTCAAGCCGCTTGCAATTTCATTCCGCGCATTCAAAACTCTGCTGCCTTGCATCCATGCACACATTTTTTTATTCGCTGAATAAGCATCTCCCTTTTATCTGAATCATACTTGGGTTTTTTTGTTGTTGTTGGTACATTTTTATTTCCACAAGTCTTGGGATTTACTGGGCTAACCTTGGACGTCACAGATCGTATTTCATGCCATTCCGTGTGTGAATGTGAGTTGGTGTGGTGTCAGTCATTGAGAATTCAATTTTAAATAAACTTTGAAAGGACAACCAAAAATTAAAATAATGGCAAAGTAAAATAAGAATACTGTACAATCAAATGATAGCAAGAAAAATAAATACCAACTGTTCCTTGGCCCTGTAGGGGCAATGTGGTGCTGTTCATGCCTGGAGTACAAGACTTAACAATGAGACAAGAAGCAAAGAAGAAAGTTGTGACTGTGCTCTATTAACATGGCTCATTTTTCACTGAGTGGAGTGAGAAGAGTATTTACTTTTGAGTTTTGTTATATTAACTGTGTGTATGTGTTTGTGCATTGTTATCTGAAGGATTGTCACTCCAGGAGGTCGATGCTAAATTTCATGTTAGCGTGTGAAGGGGATTCTACATTGACTTTAGCATTAGCACATGCGATGTGTTTAAAATGAAAAGCGTCTTATATTTAACTATACAATGTGTGTAATTGTTTCTGTTGTATATTTACGTTTACATTGATCTCTAACTGGCGTGTCATTAAACATCTTCAAGCACGCTCAAGGACAGCAAGATCACATACACATCACACGCTGACGGCCACAAGCAACGTGGTGCATTCAGTGTACTTCAACAACACCAGGAACTTGCAAATTCATCACGTTGTTTAGCACATTAATAATTTTTCGTTTATTATAATATTTTTAAAATGGCGAGGAGCTAAAATTAAAATCAAGATTACATTTTTATTAATGGCCCATCCCTATGCATGACAGGATAAGATATTATAGAGACGGGATGAATGGATATGTTACCTGAGAAGAGGTCCTGGACTTTTTGACACCACCATAAAATGACTTTTGCTTGTAGACAAACCAATGATGGCTCATAAACATAGCAGCTGATGTGTCTAAATGAATTTATGCATTATCTTATAATCTTGAACTATGGAACACGCTGTTGAATTCTGACGGATCATTCTATTTACATACACGTTACAAAAAAAAAATGCTGTGATTTCTAAAGCTGCTAAATCTACGACTAAGTCATTCTTGTCTTCCTTCACATCCCAAATGAAGCATTTTCGAAAAAATTAACTTGCTCAAAAAATAAATACAACGAATTGAATTAAAAACAAAAGTCAAAATAAAATAAATCCAAATCTATCATAACCCTGTTTATGAGTCAACTGATATGTCCTACGGAGTTATCCATGTGGTGTCCTTCAAACCAAACACATTTCTTATGGAGCTGCTGTCCCACTTATCCCTCCCACACTTGTTCCTAAATGTGTATTCCATGTTTGACATCCACAGAGACGCTGAAGGTTCCTAGACATCAGCAAACTTTTTTTTTTCTCACCATTTGTGTTAACAAGACCACCCAACTGTGTTGTGTGTACAGGCTTTGAGAAAAACAGGTCTGTGGACTTCTGACCCCCGGCTGCGTGACTGCATGCGTCAGATTCGCCAATTCACACTTGACTCACTGGGGCCTGTCATGATGGACAAAACGCTCTTTAGAAGGTACTGTATTCGAAATTTCTCCCGTATGCTGTAATGCATTCATGTACTCCTAGTGAGACCCCAAACTCAGTGAACCCATGCTGCTTCTATCACTAGACCTTTTGCCTTCTTTGGACCTGGTCAGTCATTCAGAGGACAAGCGTGTGCAAGAAATCAAAATTTGAAAGGACGAGTGAAGTTCAGGGGCTTTCTAGATTTCGAAGCCTATATTTAGAAAGTACTTTGGTGTTTAGTAGCGGAGACTGACCGAGAGAGCCAGGCCTTTCTGAGGCGACAGCTGTCACCAGACCCTATTCACATGTGCACATGCAAGCCAAGAGCTGCAGCAGGAAAGCTGAGTGTGCTCAAGGACTTGGAAAGGCTGAGCTCCATTACGTAACCAAGCTCAACAGTTCAATACTCCAACAGATTGGTTCCTAACAAATTGAAAGAAAGGCTTGTACAGTATATGGACATATTCAATATTTTTTTTCTTCCCATCTTTTCCTTCTCAGGCTCACAGAAAATGCTCTGAGAGAGAGAAACTATTTTTCTCCTGAAAATGACCATTTGAATAATGCAAACCCTCTCTACTTCTTCTGGTGTCTCAAATCTCACACTAGAACACTGGTGTCAAACTCAAGGCCCAGGAGCCAGATATGGCCCGCCACATCATTTTATGTGGCCCGCGAAAGCAGATCAAACATGTCACCGCCCATGATGCTTTCTAAAATGTCTACCAAAAATTTAATTCTCATACGTAATAAATAAGAGAGATAGTCTCAACATTTTCTTGTTACCAAACCCCCCATGATAGTAATTTAAGAGTTGAATCAACAGTTATTTTTGACCTCTGCACATGTGGTTTCAGTTATAACGGCCCTCAAAGGGAAACGGTAACTAAAATGTGGCACATGACAAAAATGAGTTTGACACACCTGCACTAGAATCTCATTGGATTAGGGATGGCTGCTGAATATATTACAATACTACATATATCAGTATCATTCTTCTTCTTCTTTTTCTTCTTCTTCTTCTTCTTCTTCTTATTATGACCATATTATGAAAACCAGATGTGCTAGAGAAAAAAATGAGTGTAGACTCGGAATAGGTACATCTCTGATTTAAAAAAAAAAAAAATTTGTTGGTCAGTGTGCTAATTTTTTTCTACATCAAAGTGTTTTTTTAATTACAAATCTGTCATTCTCCTGTAGGTGTGTAGGTAACAACATCATGCTGCTGACAAAGGCCTTCCGAAAAATGTTCATCATCCCAGACTTTCAAGCGTTCACTCAGAAAATTAAAGTCATATATGACAGCGCACAACAGCAAGATGGGGGACAAGTAAGTCACAGATGCACAATGGTATTTACTGCAGTGGTACCTCATCCAGGGCCTCCATCCCTTCAGTGTCCGTTGATGAAAGGGCATGAAACAATATAATGGGACATCCACGTCTGATTAATGAGCATAAAATTGATTTAAAAAAAAAACTTCCATCCACAACTTCCTATCCCATAGCACATACAGTATAGACAAATAGCCGATCACACTCACATTTACGGACAAAACAGACCTTTAAAAAAATAATTTTATATATATACACACACACACACACACACACACACACACACACACACACACACAGTACATGCAGAAGAGAAAAAAAGAAAGATGTTATGTATCTTATGTTGTTGTTCTTTCAATGCATAGTGCATTGGAAATCTAACAGAAGTCTGCACTTCATTGTTCACGTCACCATGCAGGTAGCTGATTACATTCCTCAACTTGCAAAATTCAGCTCTGACATTTGGGGAGTATCTCTGTGTACCGTTGATGGACAAAGGTAAGCATCCTCTTGTTAAATGCATGGTTCCACTCTGACATCCTTCATTCAGCATCTGCACCATTTCATTTTGTCCATGTTTCTCCATTCATCTGCCCGCGCTGTGCAGGCACTCAATGGGTGACACCAAGGTTCCCTTCTGTCTGCAGTCGTGTGTCAAGCCACTGGAGTACGCCATCGCTGTGCATGAACTCGGCAGCGAACACGTCCACCAGTTTGTGGGCAAAGAGCCTAGTGGATTCAGGTTCAACAACCTATCGCTGAATGAGGAGGGTAAGCAAGCTTTTAACTACCTAGCCCCATTTTTAAAAAGAGCTTGCCTCCTAAATCTAATATTCTGTTGGGACACCCACAGCAGCAAAAACTGGCAATCAGTCTTTAACATCTACAGCATGTGGAGACATTTTGGCCCATTCCTTCCTTTCAGAATTGCTTAATTCCAGCAACACTGGAGTGTCGTCGAGCATGAACGGCCTTTTAAGGTCATGCAGCAGCATTTCAATCAGATTCATGCACTGACTTTGACCAGGTCCCTCCAAAATCTTCATTCAGAAATTATTTCTTTTTCGACATTCAATAAGTTGATTTCTGGTGTGTTTTGGATTTTTGAAGAACCCAATGCACTTTAGCTTGTGGTCATGAACTGATGGCTGTAAAGACATTGAAGAGCAGAATTCATGGGTCCATCAATCACAGTAAGTCATCCAAGTCCTGAAAAAGGAGAGCAGCCCCAGACCATCACACTAACACCTCCATGTTTGACTGTTAGTCTGAGGTTCTTTTTATGTGTTAAATTTGATGTAACAAGATGCAAAAAGTTCAACTTTTGTCCAACGAAGTCAACGGTATTTTGAATCATTCAGATTTTTTATTTTTTTTTTGCAAACGTAAAATGAGCCTTTATGTTCTTTTTGGTCATTAGTGGTTTTGCCTTGGAACTCTGCCATGAATGTAATTTTTGCCCAGTCTCTTCCTTTTTGTTGAGCCATGAACTGTGACCTTAACTGAGACGAGGGAGACTAGCAGTTCTTTAGATGTTACTTTTAATAATGTCAACACACAACAAAATGAACGATACAAAACAGTACAAACCAAAAAGGATCCAACCAGGTTGTACAACTTTTGTTTTGCCAGACCCTGAATTATACCATCACATCAGAAGAATGCTTCCAATAAGTGGTTGTGAAGTAGATCTATTGAGTCTCAGCAATTCATTCAGAACATGCTCTCATTTCTCGTGCAGATAAACCACACAATCCAATGGTGAATGCTGGAGCTATCGTGATCAGTTCATTAATAAAGGTAAACATTGCATGCCTGCCACGGATGACTGGAAAGATTTTTCAGATTTTTATTTTAGAATATACACCCTGGTTTTGGACTTCTGGTGTGTGCAGCAATGCACATACGGTAATATTGATCAGGATCACCTTTGTAGAGAGGCGGCTCATGGTACAATTAGAAACTAATTACATTTTGATGCTTTCTGATCATGCAGTGAATAATAAGTCCTTAAACCTTTTTTCCATTACAAATGTTTTTTCTTGTTTGTTTTTCAAGTAAGATAAGATGAGTTTTTTTCATAGTCCTATATAAGTCTAATGAAAGATCTTGTGATCATCCTGAAAATATTTGAAGAGCAAGCTGGGCTGTGACTCGGTTACCTAATTGGGCAAAACAAACTGATCAAACTGAGGCTGGACTTTGAACCATCACCGTTTGTCTTGACAGACGTCACATTTATCTGTGGGCACAGATAAACATAGCATGTGGACGTGTTCCACCTGTTTGAAATTGGCTTTACTTTCACAGCAAAGTAGTAAACCTTGGGTCACTTGTGAGGGAGGGCCTGTATGGGAGAGGGAGGGGGTTAGGTGTGCGTGTCCTTCCGGCCAATCAGAGCGTCCGCAGGCAGGAGGAGTGCCCTTGCCTGCTTGAAACTTGTTTACGTTTGGTGAATCGATGATTTCAGGTTAGCTGTCATAGGGAATATAACTCATGCAAAATATATCTCTCTCTCTCTCTCTCTCTCTCTCTCTCTCTCTCTCTATATATATATATATATATAAAGAGAATTAGAGACAACTGTTGTTCCAGGCAGCAGTTTTTTTACATTACATGCAAATTGTGACATCATGTGACCAGTCAAAGTTCTCAAACACTGCCATCTGTAGGGCTGCTATGAATCGTTGTTTCAACAGCAACAAAAATCTCAGTTTTCACCTTTGTCTTTTTTTACAGCCTGACTCCAAAAAAGCAGAGAGGTTCGATTACGTGAGTAAAGTGTTTGTTTTTTGTTTTTTTTGTTTTTTTCACTGTGCACATGGCATAGGTTTCATTCCATGTCCCACAATGTTATCTCCTCATGTCTGTTTTCAGGTAATGGACTTTTTGAAGCGTACAGCGGGAGCAGAGTATGTTGGCTTCAGCAATGCAACGTGAGTATCAGGAATAGAAAACTATTATTTTGTAATTTCTTTTGTCGATTCTTAGCTGTAACGTGCTCACAGGTTCCAGTCCGAGAGGGAGACAGGTGATCGGAACTATGCAATTGGTTATTACCTCAAGGAAAAAAAGGTAAGTTGGCGTGTCGGTTTTGTTTCCAAACAAAGTTCTCATGTCTTGAATAAGCTATCACTCTAATGTGAGTATGTTTTACTTGTAGTGCTTCCCCAAGAACGCTGACATGAGTGATGCCCTTGACTTCTACTTTCAGGTGAGGACCTTTCTGACTTATATAGTAATTGATGACATATTAAATCAAGAAATCTATTGTTTTGAGGATCTAGAGCAGCGTGGTCAATGGACGAATACATATTGGATATGGTCCAGCGAGAAATTTTAACCCATTTTCTTTCATGCTTATCAATCTACCCTGAAAAAAAATGGATGTGTGGAATTCACTCAAATTTATTTCGTCGATTGGATTCACAAAAGAAAATAATCTGGATCCAGATGTATAGTCAGTCCACTTAATAAAAATATATCTGGAATAAATTCAACAAAATTTGTTTCAGTGTGGATTATCGCAAAAACTCGCTTGATTTTTTTTTTTTCTGTCATATCTGAAGTTGGATGAGAAGTTCAAATGTCAAAATCAGTCTTCGTTTTTTCCATGGCAGCTGTGCGCCATCGAGATGACGTGTGAGTCGGGCAGCGTCATGGCGGCCACGCTGGCCAACGGAGGCATTTGTCCAATCACCGGCGAGCGTGTGCTGAGCACAGAGGCCGTTCGGAACACGCTGAGTCTCATGCATTCCTGCGGGATGTACGACTTCTCTGGACAGTTCGCCTTCCATGTGAGTTACGCTTTCATAGGCCTCACTGACTTGAGATGGCTTTTTTTTCATCATCAAATACAGGTGCTTTGAGAAAGATAGGCTTGTTTTTTATGATTTTTTCTTTCCAGGTGGGCTTGCCCGCCAAATCTGGGGTTTCCGGTGCCGTTCTCCTGGTGGTCCCCAATGTCATGGGCATGGTGTGTTGGTCTCCCTCTTTGGATCGCCTGGGGAACAGCGTGCGCGGCATTCACTTCTGCCAGGTACATCGCAGTTTTGCCCATCGGCCTTGAGTGTTGTGTGATCCATTCCAACATTTGATTGACTAGGAGCTGGTGTCTCATTTTAACTTCCACAATTACGACAACCTGAGACATTTCACCAAGAAGCACGACCCCAGAAGAAGCTTAGATGACGAGCCGGTGAGTTCCGAGCCAAGTTGCATCCACTCTCAAAATCAAAACATCATCATCATCATCATCGTACTTACTTCTCCATCCTTCAGAACAAAGCAGTTGTAAACTTGATGTTTGCGGCCTACAGCGGTGACGTCTCTGCTCTGAGGAGGTATCAGAAGGGTTCTTGATGGGAGAAAGAACACCACTTCTTTTTGTCAGAAGGGATTCAAAAGCAATGCGTTATTTCAAATATCATCAACCATTTATGAGAGCATTTGCTAATTGGTAAACTCCAGATTTGTCACTCTAGGCAAGGGTTATGATAGTTTGGGAATTTTCACAATGATTAGTTCTTATTTTGTTTTGTGTGGGGTCTTTTTAAAATTCATTCAGTTTTAATCAGTTTTAGGGCAGGTTTGCTAGTTTTTATTAGTTTCAGTTTTTTTAATGCTTTGTTGTTATTAGTTTTAGAATTAGTTTTTTTTTTTTTTGTGTAGTTCTTGTGTGCAAGCCAGAAACCTCCGATTAAAATGTAGTTTCAGTTAGTTGTCTTTTCTATTGTTTTTTTAAGCATTTTCATTTTTAATGTATTTTCTTCATGGAAGTGTATTTTCCAGTTTTATTTTTGAACTTAAGTTTTTATTTGCAAACAAAGTCAGTGGTAGTGTCCCATTTCTTGACTTCCAGGTTTGCTCTTTCTACGTTGAACATGGACCAGCGAGACTACGACTCTCGTACAGCCCTCCACATCGCTGCAGCAGAAGGTGACTCTCTTGTAGTCCATCCATCCATTTGCTCTACTATTTGCCCTCATTCAGGTCAAGGGTAACTGGAGCCTTTTCCAGATGACGCTGGGCGAGACGCAGGCTACACTCTAGACTTGTCTCTTTTGATTGACACTTGATATGTTTTTTTGTGTTTTGGCCAAGATGTTATCACACACTTTTTTTTTTTAGGTCATGTAGAAGCTGTCATCTTCCTCACTGATGAATGTAAAGTGGATCCTTACATCAAAGACAGGTAGACAGTGTCCAATTTATAATGTGCATTTATTGGTGTGATATTTAATAGAAGAGATGCCCAAAAATGTCGGTCTGAAAGCACAGTATAACAGTCCATGTCATGGTGTTTATTGGCAGATGGGGCAACACTCCCCTGGATGACGCCAGGCAGTTTGACCATCACGTCATCGCCACCATTCTGCAGCAGTACCAGCTTGCGTACACTAATGGCGAGTCATCGAGCTTCAAAGAGGAGCAGAAGACCACCATGGACACGCTGGAGAGCATCAATTGAGGGATCGAGCGAGGCTCAATTAATATGGCACTTGAAATGAAACAGGGTGACTCAGACAAGTGAGTAATGAAGGATTTTAGATGTAGTTCGGGCAATTTATGCACGCTCACTTGTCAAAATCTTAGGCACGCTAGCGCAATCTATTGAGACACAATAACAGATCTGCGGCAGCACGGGGAAGTTGTGGTTAGCACCGGCTCACAGTCAGGAGATTCAGGTTCCAGTGTTTTTGGGAACATCTCTTTAATGGCATATTCGTGTGCTCCAAGTGAGCTCTGCAAATCCTCAAAACAAGCGTCCTTTTTTTTTTTTAATTGAAGACTGCGTGAATATGGCTGGGAATGGTTATCCAGTCCCCTCCAAAAGTATTGGAATGGCAAGGTCACTTCCTTCGAATATTTATTCCTCTCGCCAGTATTCAGGGACACGACAATCAAATATTATAATACAAGCACAGTAGTAAAGTCCGGCCACAACAAAGCAAATTCTTTTCAATTAATAACTGAAAGGGATTCATTTTTTAATGAGTGCCAGTATTTCGATGCCCTCTTTCATTGGAGTTGATGAAATCGTGCAAGTTCACCTGATGTGTTCATTGACAGTGCTCACTAATGCTATGCCAGTTACCGGCAATTATCTTTATAATATTGCACAATATTTCATGGCACTGTCCTGTGGAGGAACATTTCATTCTATTACTCATATAACACGTAAGAGTTATGTGCTGCTGTATATAATTGTAGTAGGCGTTCTTATCCCAGTAGTGAGAAAAAGCCAATTCCTATCAGGCATTTTTATTTGTCCTCCTGCATAAATGTTTCTGAAACAGATTACGTGACTCTCAAACAAAGGTGACTCAAATACTTGTGACTTTTCATAACAATTACCGTATTGGCCCGAATATAAGACGGTGTTTTTTGCATTGAAATATGACTGAAAAAGTGGGGGTCGTCATATAGTCGGGGCCTAGACGTTATACCCATTCACGACGCGATGGCGCCAGATATCATTGAAGCGAATGCTGAACTTGACTTCCAAGGCCAAAGTGAACCCCTGCCACGAAGAATAAAAATAAAAATAGCGGTAGCACGAAGAATAAAAATAAAAAATAGCAATTAACAAGGAGAAGAAAATAATAGAAGACATAACAGAAAATGGAGAAACGTAGTGACAATCTGGTGAAAGGTGGGTCGATGATCGGCCAGGTTAACCGGCAGCTGAGGAGAAGTTATGATGTAATTTACATTTCAAAAACCAGAAGCCATTCATTTACGAATGTCATTGCACTTAGATTTGAATGAGGCAAAATAACATGCTCTTTCTCTCAAATATTTTGTTATAATCATTTGTTTCAGATGTACTGTAATTATTTTCTGTGTAAAAATAAATTTGGTGTTCAAAAAGTCTTTTTTCAAACTTGAGTCTTGAAAAAGAGGGGGTCGTCTTATAATCAGGGCCGTCTTATATTCGGGCCAATATGGTGTGTCATGTCAAGAAGCTCGGGTTTAGGAATACTCTTGTGTTAATTCAAAAGAGAAACATTTATAGTTGTAGACAAATGACTCAGGGTAACGTTCATATGTGGCAGAAGACGTAATAACGTGTTGTTCTGTTCTTGTTATAAATATACGTCATCATAATGTGAAGAAAAGAAATGTGAAAAAGTCAATTGTGGTCTTCTTTTAATAAACAATGTACAGTATTAAGATGACCGATTAGCACCAGAAAAGTTGATCAATACATGACATGCTGGGCGAGCCATGAAAGAGGCTCGTCGAAATCAACCTGCAGAGGATCAGACACGTTACAGTCATCAATGAGTCACTTGTATCTACAGTATCTACAGTACTGATCATATATATATATATATATATATATATATAT